TCTTTCTCTATACCGCTACATCTTGACTTGCATACAGGCATACATCCAAGCTAAAGTTATAACAAACGAGGCTCAAATTGCACCTGAGAAAAGTCAAACGAACAAGAGTTATTGTTCATGTGTTATTACCTAATTCAACCCTCGCAACCATGCGCATGACCTACAAAAGCAAACCGGGGCACACTGTTGTTCTGGCAGCCCGTTCTCTCTTTTGTTTTCTCTGCAATAGTACATTGACTGTAGTGCATACAGTATTCTGAATATGCTCTTTTGTTAATTCAGTTTATGTAAATAAATATGCAATATTGTAGTTTTCAGCTAAATAAAATATTTATCCATGCTTTTCGTTTTTGTTTAATAAAACTTGAACACAAAAAAAGATGATATGTTATTTTTCAGTCCATATTTGCAGCCGCCTCCTGCCCTATAAGGCAAAAACTAAAAAGGTGACTTAATTAACTAATTCTATAATCATTCACATTTTACAAGGAATCGTATATTTATTTATTCACTCAGCACAACACGCACCGGTGCCTTAGCCGCTAAAGTCTGATTTTCATGAAGTCTGCATCAGAGGCCAGACCGATGTTCTGGGTAATTTTTTTCTCCGAGGCTTACTCCGGCTATAGGACATAAGTTTTTTCAAGAACTGAGGACTGCCCATTCCTGGAATGGGAAATGTCGTTCGAGAATGGAGTGTCTTGTCGTCGTCGAATTCATCACTGCCACAGGAATCCGTATTGGTGTCAACTGGCGCGTAATACTTTGGAGAGACTGTAGACTCCGACTCGCGTACAAAATCCTCATATATCGGAGGACTGTCGTCCGTCAACGCCAACGTTTTAAAGCAATCTTCCAGCTTCTCCACCACAGGGCGTGGTGTTTTATCAATGGATCCTTGTAACGTGAAGGGAACAGATAGTTTTAGGTCGGCGCCTGTGCTGGTCTCAATACATACTTCTATGCTGTAGGAAACCGATAGAGCAGGGCTGTCTGCAGTGCCGAAGACGCACGTAGTTGGTGTAAGGTGCAAACCGTCACGTGCGTGTTTTTGTACCGCAACACTGGACTTCAACTTCTTTGGGATATCCGCCAATAAAACCACATCGAGATTGATACTGAGGGCCTTGTTGTCTTTTGCTACAGGTTCCCAGCTTGGCATTCGGGATACATGGACAATGGTTGCAGTGTCAATAACACTTGTACGGTCCATTTGATCGGTCAAAAATTGTGATGTCACTTGCTGTTTCAAAGTGGCTTTAACGCGGCGCACTTTAGTATTAGCATGTAGCTTGAGCAGCTCGATATTACAATGTATAGGTTCACCGGTAACATGTACATCTTCTTGTAAACTCGCCTCGGCTCGCACCGCCACTGTGTTTTTCATATAAGCGCTAATCTCGCCCAGCGTTCGGGGGGCCACGGAGTTGGATCGGTACAATGATGAAACCTGAAACCTAGTATATGCAACCGCGCCCATGTTGCATGAAGACTCGCAAGAAAGAAGTCTTGCATCCCATGAGACATTGATTAGATTGTGCTCTAAAGAACTCAGAACTTCAGTTGGCAGAGTGAAAGCGAACGGTATCGTGTTAGGGCCCTGTTCTATTCTGTGGTTTTGTGCTAAAGTCTTGCTTTCCCTGTAGATTGTATATATCGAGCTGGCGTCTCCATAATGCCACCTCATGCGACAGCAAAGCGCCACTTTTACGATCGGTAACTCTCTAGCTTGGTCTGAGTTGATAGTCACTTCGCCATTGACACAATCATTCGCATTGTAGGATTCCTTGTCAACAGCTACTTTGAATGACATTGAATTGGATGAAAACTTTGCGATCAGGTCCTCGAGGTTCTCGGGACATAAAATTTTCCGGTTGTCCACTTCCGGATGATACGAGTCCATGTTGACCATACCGACCATATTGACTGTAATTCTCTAACGAAATAGATTTTTGTTTGTTTGCTTGTAGCAACTGAATTCAATACTCGACTGTGTGCAGTGTATTTATACCTCTCTTATCCGTCTCTTGGATCTCGAGCATTTCACTAAAATAAGTTTGTAAAACAACGGCATCCTGATAACTACTATTTATTAATTGGTACTTTTTTTTTGGGGCTTCAAATGACATCATATGATCATAGCCTCCTCTTGTATCAAATAAAAGAAAGTATATAGAAGGCCATGTGATGCGAATGTCATCAATCGGTGGATGCAAGGTTAACAGCAATTCCTATAGGTTGCCAACTTATTGTCCGTAACCCGGTACTGCTGCTAAATTATTTATTTTTAAAAACAGCAAGGACGCCAAGGATAGATCACCCAGGACATTTTTATCTATCTCTCTCTCTCTCTCCCCCCCCCTCTTTTTGAACTGAACCTGGGGTTGGTGGTTGCCGATGCGGCCGTTTTGGTTTCCGACATATCACTGACATCAGGTATGTATTTATTTATTTTAATAAAAACAGTATTTATGTCCAAAAAAATCGGACCGGTCTGTAAAGTATAACCCTATCTTCTTTAAAATAGGGTACTTCCCGTCATTGTCTGCTTCTCTCTTTGTGTTTGTTGGTTTCTGGTTTCAGTCATGTCGGACATTTATTGTACCATCAGTTCTTCCCAATCCCGGCCGGCACAAGTCAGCACTTGTGAGTTTGAAACTCTCGCCGACTCAACGATCTTAAACGAGAGGGCTGTAAAATTAAATTTATAAATAGCATTTACACACGCTCCTATTATTCGCTGTCCGGGACGGCTACCCAGGTACTCTCTTGCTTGGAGTCGACATTTTTTATGTTTTTTTCCACCGTTGTTGTTTATTTTATATTTTCAACAAATCAAAAAATCAAAAAGCAAAATCTCTCAAAGTCTCATGTGAGTCATAAGCTTAAGAACGCTAGAGAAGCCCGACAACGGTATCAACCAATTATATTTTTATTGTTAAATTTTAACTATAAGTTTTCGTTACAATTTGTTCTGGCACGTTTGACGTTAAAAATACAATAAAGTTTTTAAACAAGTATTTCTATATATGGTTGCCGAAGTAAACCCCTACTTTGCTACATGATGTCACTCAGACGGACCCAGTCGAAGTGCCTCGAATAATACACCAATCCCGGAGCTAATAGATAGCGGAATTTGCTCGGAGCGATGAAGAGTGATGAGGAGCGATGAGGATAGAGAAATCTATGGCCTTTTAGAAGTTCTAGTCCAATTGGACATTTGGTCCGGTTGGAGCATCGATTTATTTTATGACGACGATTTGGCAGCGTCGGAAACTAGCTAGCTCTCCGATGTGTCTTTTATTACAGTCAGAAGTCCAATATATGTTATGATACTAACCAGAGAAGACATATAACGACAGGTCGGAAACTAGGCTGTGAAGAATACCTGTCTTTGTCGTTTACCAGAGGCGAACATTTTTGTTTGTCTGAGCCTCTGAACTCTGAACTCTGAACTCTGAACTCTGAACTCTGAGATCATATAAAATATTGCATCTGATGTGTGTTTTTGTTTTGTTTTTTCTAGTTTTTGTTTTTGTTTACATTGTTGGTTTGTTTTTTCATTTTGTGTTTTTATTTTTAATTACTTGTTTTTTTTACAAAACAAACAAAGTCCGATCATTTATGTTTGTTTGTTTTTTACAAAAAATAACAAACAAACAAAATAGAACAAAAATGAATCAAAAAACGACCTGCACTCCGACTCAACAGACTCTCTTGGATAGAAAGTATATCTAAATTTAAATAGAACCGTGGCGGTAGAGACCGTTTGTTTGTTTTTAACGTGTAAATACACACTCTCCGAGCTAGAGTAGCTAGTAGTAGAGGAGTGGAGACTTGAGACTGTCGCGAGTGTATACTGGAGACGTTGGTGAGTGATTACTGGAGAGAAAGGATATCTACTTTATAAAGGCTCGAATTATATACATATGTTACGATGAGATTAGCACTCAAAAGATCGAATTGAATACATATGCAAAGATACGAGAGATGGTCTACTTTGTGTACTTTAGAAAGTCGATTTTATGGGCACAAATTAAATCGATAAGCAACGATACGGAAGAGAGGGTGCATACTTCAAGGCTCAAATCAATGTGCATTTCTACATGTAGCAGATGAATACATATGTACGTAAATATTTGTGTTATGTATATATATATATATAGTATATATATATATATGTGGGGGTTGGGGGGGGGGGGTGGGGTGGGTGGTGGTGTGTGTGCGTGTGTGTGTGTGCGTGTCTGTATGTTGTGTGTTGTGTNTTACAGTATGTGTAGTATATGTTTATTTACTTTAAGTATACTA